GGGGTTCTAATGCCAGGATATGAAGCCAAGGGATGGAAATGAAATGATAAAAGTTAATTAACTACACCCTTTTCCATTGCTGGGAGGATAAAGACAGAGAAGGATGGAGGACCAGTTGGTGCCAGAAGAAACTCCTAGTCCTGGATCTCAGATCCTATTCCAGGGGATGATCACAGACGGAAGTGAGGTCAGAGTCTCGACAGCTCTGCTCTCCGGAGCAGACGCCTCAGCAGAGACGCCATGCCCTGCTCCCTGGCAGACACACGTGATGAAGCTCGGACCGAGGATGGACTAGGCTAGAATCTCCCCGGTAAGCGCACCTTGGGGTGCTACACACAGATGATTAGGAATGGGCTAAATTAATATGTGAGAATTAGCCTAGAAGAGAATGGGCCAAGCAGTGATTAAAAGAATACAGTTTGTGTGTTGTTATTTCGGAGCATAAGCTAGCCATGTGGGCGGCCGGGTGTGGGGGACGCAGCCCTGCCGCCCCATATTACTACAACAGACAGACCTAGAATAGGGTCAGGGAACATGAGAAAAGGATCAAATTAGCTCCCAGGGAATGCTACCTTCTCCACATCACAAGAAACCTCAGTCTAGGGGGCTGGAGTGATGTCTCAGAGGTTAAGAGCATTGCCTGCTCTTCCAAAGGTCCTGAGTTCAATTCCCAGCAACCACATGGTGGCTCACAACCATCTGTACTGGGGTCTGGTGCCCTCTTCTGGCCTGCAGGCATACACACAGACAGACTATTGTATGCATAATAAATAAATAAATACCTCAATCTAAAATTTTGTCCTCTATTTCTAGCTGTTTTACAGAGTTAGTAAAAAGGAAGTTCTGAAGTGGTAAAGCACACAGGAATGGGCACACTTTATAGTAACAAATATCTTAGATATGGTACCAATGACAAATGTCTTGGTACTGTTCTAGGCCTGTGACAACACATCACAACCAAGGCAAATGATAAAGGAAAGGAACAAGCTAATTGGATGGCCTGGGCTTTTGAAACCTCAAAACTCACTTCCAGTGACACACCTCCTAATCTGTCCTACACAGTCCGCACTTAAAACCAGACATTAAAATTGTGTGTGTGTGTGTGTGTGTGTGTGTGTGTGCGCGCGCGCACGTGCGTGTAAACCTGTCCATGTGCACACACATCTGAAGGGAGAAGACAGCTGGTGGGAGTCAATCTCTTGCTGTCCTAATGATCCTTTCATCCTGCCTCAGATTGTGCGGCCTTTGTCTCCTAGAGGGGGGAGTAGTTACAGTGCTCAATTTCCCTACTCAATTTCTCTACTTCCATAGCTCAGACCTTATCTACGTCTATGTCTCACAGTCCCAGGAACCCTGTGTAGGGGCTCATTAAATTTTAAAAGTACCTTTTTTGTCTGTTTCAAGAGGTTCAGAGGCAAATATTCCTGTTTATCAAGGTTTCCCATACTGAATCACTGCTAAGGCCCTGTATGTATGCTGAATCATAGTCTTTTCCCTGAGTTAAAAGTGGGCCTGAGGGGTATTCTATTACTTTTACTTCACTTTTTCTCTCTTTACTGTCTTTTCTTACCATCATTCCCAGGTTTTGGGACTGCAGAAGCACAGATCTGATTCCTGCTCTTTCCTTTATGCCTCCTTCACATTCCCCAGGTGTAAGAAATGGTGAGCCAGTTTCTCACAAAGGCAGCATTTGCATGTCCTTTTCTCATTGTCCTTCCTCCCTTAGGCTGGCAAGTCCTTTCTGGGTAGGTGATTCAGCCTCAGTTGCAAGTCTCTCTGCCCACAGCAAAGGCCACACAGCTGCTGCCCCTGTCTGCTGAGGATCCTGCCCAGAGCCCCACAGGTGTTATTCCTGGAGTTGCTGTTGGTGGTGCTCATGTGATAGACCTCATGCCATGTAGAGGAAGACAACTACCCTGGGTTCCCAGTACTGCTATCCATCCACCTCAGATGGAGCAGTCTCAGAGGCAACTCTTATCATCCATGCCAAGGGCAGTGCAACTCTCAGCTGCCACGTGGAGAAAGCATGGCTCAAGAAATCATAGCAAGCCAGGCGGTGGTGGCGCAAGCCTTGAATCCCAGCACTCGGGAGGCAGAGGCAGGCGGATCTCTGTGAGTTCGAAGCCAGTGTGGTCTACAAGAGCTAGTTCCAGGACAGGCTCCAAAGCTACAGAAAAACCCTGTCTCGAAAAACTAAAAAAAAAAAAGAAATCATAGCAAGAATTGACAAGTGCATTGCATGAAATTGAAAAACTTCTGCATAAAAAAAAAAAAACAAGGACGTGAAAGACAGTCTAAGAAATGGGAGAAAATCTTTACCAGCTATACATCTGAAAGAAGATTAATATCTTCAGTACATATGTAACTCAAACATTTCCTGCTCAGTTAAATATGGATTATGAAAACAAGGTAAAGTTGACAATAAAAAGGTCTTGACAGTCTAAGTAGCAGGACAGAGTTGCCATTAACAGAAATGGGGAAATGCATACGAAACAGTCAGGTTAGCACGGGGACAGATGAGTCTGGAGGTACTTGGCAGAAATATCTGGACTGAAGAAATCTATCTGGGAAGTAATAGTAAATAATATTTAAAACATTGGAGATAAAGAAAATCACCAACAGAGTGATTAGCTGGAGGAAAGAAAGGAAGACGTACTGAGTCCTGGTCCAGTACTTAGTGTTCTCAATAGAGCATCTACCTGGAGCAGATCACACAGCTCTGGAACTGTGTTTAGAAGGCCCATAGACTAGAAAGTCCCAGACCTTGTTGGATCCAGGAGTCCCCTAGACATCTCAAAATTCAGAAATCTCGCTGTAGAGCTGAGACTCTGGGTGTTTGTTGCAGAAACTGCTGTTTTTTCAGATAATATAGCAAGAAGGATGTAAACAAAGAGCCCCAAACTTTATACATCAGCCTCACTCATGGCTGAGTCATTCCTGAGGCTATCTGTGGTTAACTATACAAACATTCCCAAAATTGGGCAAAAGTATTTCGGGGACATCAAGGTCAGTCTGAGTTGCTGTATTAGTTACTTTTTTTCATTGTTGTGACAAAATATCTGAGAGAAACAACTTTAAAAATATTTATTCTGATTCACGAGTTAAGAGGGTACATACAGTCCATCTCAACATAAGGCGTGGTGGAGGTCACGGCATCGGGAGCATTTGGCTGGGACTCCTCCAATTTCAATGGATCCGGAAGGAGAGCACAGAGATCTCAGCTGGCTTTTTTCTGTTTGTATTATTCAATCTTGACCCTAGTCCAAGGGATGGCACCACCCACATTCAGAGTGGATTTTCCCTTCTCATTTAATCATCTCTGGACACAATCTTATAGACATACCCAGAACTGCATCTCCTAGGAGATTCTAAATCCAGTCAAGTTGACAGTGAAGATTAGCCATCCCAGCTACACAGTGAGTTCAAAGCCAGCCTGGGATACAGTACGAGACCCTGTCAGAAAAACAAATAAACAAAACAAAAAATGAGGAAGTAAGTCCTGCACTCCATACTCAACAATCTAAAGGATGGGTGAAGGAGGCCTGAGTATTGTGGGAAAAGGTTGGTGACCATGATGTTAGTAGTAAGAATAATGAGGAAGGGTCTTGCATGGGCATTATTATTATCATCATTTTGTTGCTGCCCAAGAAAGAAAAGGGAGAGCACATATCATCACTCATGCTAGCATGTTCAGAAATGTACATTGTTTTCTCTATCATGGGTATAGCCTCAGAGAAAAGTCATAAGAAGTAGTTATATAGGGAAAAACTCTGGCTGTTATCTGAAATCTTTCTGAACTGATTCCTTATTTTTATTTTTTTAAAGATTTATTTATTTATTATATATACTGTATTCTGCACCAGATCTCATTACAGATGGTTGTGAGCCACCATGTGGTTGCTGGGAATTGAACTCAGGACCTTCGGAAGAACAGGCAGTGCTCCTAACCTCTGAGCCATCTCTCCAGCCCTGATTCCTTATTTTTAGGTACGAATAAGAAAGTGTAAATCCTTATCATTTAAACATAAAATGATTTTCTATGTGATGCTCGATAATAGGAGATTATTTTCTTTTGGAAAAGTCCAATAAACGGAATTCTGATAGGACCGTCAACATCAGGTCCCACGGGTGATAAACTGGACAGAGGACCACTGAGACCCTGGAACTGGTCACTGTGACAGTTCCCCTGCTGCTCTTGGAAGCTGCATGTGACAATGTCATACTTCCCAAATGCAATCCCTGCAGCTCTAGCTTTTCCTCATGACTGTGTTCTGAGTCACAGTCCAGCATGTGGTCATTGAACTGATGGAATTGAGGACTCATGTGGTGCCCAGCTGCAGGGATGTTTGAGAAAGTAGTGAGGGACTTGGTCTCTGCCTCCTTTCTACACTGTAAGTGAGTGTTTCCCTAATGTGTTAAGAGTTCCAAAGCTGGAACATGTGACCAAGGGATGGAAATAGAATGGGGCAAACTGATTTCTGAAAGTTATCTGAGTAACTACATCTGGGGAAAGAAAAAGACTGATAGGGATGCAGGATAATGATCTCCTAGAGCCCTGGATAAATGTACTAGTACACAGAGTCCCAGGTTGGGTAAGTATGCCTGTATGGTAGGTCTCACAATAACCAAACAGGTGATGAGCTCATTTCCACCTAGGGCTTCGACTCAATGGAGATGAAACCTTCAGACACCAATCCATTCCCTTCTCTTCCCTTCCCTTCCCTTCCCTTCCCTTCCCTTCCCTTCCCTTCCCTTCTCTTCCCTTACTTCTCCTCATTGTCACAACGGCAGCCACAACTCCAGCGATCACAACTCCGAGGAGAACCACACCAACAGTCATTCCAATCTTGGGCCAAAAAGATGGCTCTGGGAAGAGAGGGTGGGGAGGAGTGGATAGAGTTGAAGGACCCTACCTCCCAGCTCAGCACTGATCCTACTCAGGGGTCTCCAGACCACCTGTTTTTCCTGGCAACAGACTCTATGTTCACACCCCTCCTTACCCCATCTCAGGATGAGGGGCTCGGGCAGCCCCTCATGATGCACAAGGCAGGTGTATCTCTCCTCATCCCCAGAAGGCACCACCACCGCTGCCCACTTCTGGAAGGTTCCATCCCCTGCAGGCCTGGTGTCCACTAGCTCCATGTCCTGGATCTGGTCCTCTCCATCACGTTGCCAGGTTAGGGTGATCTCAGCTGGATAGAAGCCCAGGGCCCAGCACCTCAGGGTGACATCCCCTTCAAGTCTTAGATGATGGGTTACATGTGCCTTCGGGGGATCTGAGAGGAAGAGTAGGAAAGTTCAGGCATTTTATATTCTTTCTGGAGACTTAAGCAGTATTCCTGTGACCATGCTGGCAATGGACAATTGACTTGAGATGCTACAAAGGAACCAGTCCCATACAGTAAGTAGCCTGGACTCAGGATTCAGGATAAACCATTCCCTGTTAAATTGTATAATCTAGTCCAGTAGAGACTCCAGGTTTGCCACCATGAGAAAGGGATTTCAGATCTTGAGTGAGTGGGGCATTAAGAGACTCATCATGGCTCCATCAGGCCTCCACAAACACTGGCTGGGGACAGCACCCGCCCGCCTGCCCGCCTGCCTGCAGGTTGGGAGAAGTCATGGTTCGCAATGGGCTGCAGTTCTAAGGAACTGCGGCTTATTTCTGAGATCTCTCTTCCATCTCAAGAAACATTCCGAAGAGAAGGGTGGGCACTTGGGAGAGTCACTCTCTGATGTTGGGTTAGTAAACACAGGAGTACTCTCACCGCAATCTCCCATCTGATCGCATTTTGCCACCTCCAGGGACCTGAGGCCCAGTTCCAGCGCAGAGGGAGGAATTTCCTCGTTCTCCCTCTTACCTGTTCTCTGCAGTGTCTTCTTCCCTATCTCCAGATGTCTGAGGAGTGTCTCTACACATCTCCCCTCCAGAATGGCTCTGATGCGTCCTGCTACACCATCAGCTTTCCACTTGTCGGCAGCGATCTGAGCCGAGGTGTCGCCAGCGGTCCAGGAGTGCAGATCCTCGTTCAGGCTAAGATAATCGTTGCCGTCGTAAGCGTGCGCATATTCGCCTCGGATGAGCCGCCCGTCCGGTCCAATTTCGCAGCCAATTAAACACTGGATGGTGTGAGAATCTGGTCCCTCCCCTGAAGTCAGAACTGCCCACAAAGGCCCTGACCCACTCACTCCCGGTATTTGGACCAAAACTGATATCAAAACCTGTCCCGGTCTCCTGGTGATCTGAACCCGGGACATAGAAGGCTGAGGCAAGTTGGCCTGGGATCACTTACCATTACTGCTGTGGTTGTAGACGCTCAATGCCAATCGTAGGTTTTCTCGGGCCCTCTGTGCATAACTCTCGGCATATTTTACCTCCTCTTCCCAAAACTTCTGACCCATTCGTTTTACCCACGACCCCCGGGGCTCTGTCCTCGGACTCTCCGCGTCGCTGTCGAAGCTCATGAACTCGATGTTGTCCACGTAGCCAACGATGATGACTCGGGGCTCCCGGACCCCGGGACCGGACGTCGTGGTAACAAAATAGCGCAGCGAGTGCGAACCTGGGGGCGACTTGCCATGAGACCCCGACCCTTTCCCCGGGGATCCGCGGGCAGGTCCACAGACCTGGAGGGGAGTGGGACACCCGACTAGGGGCACTGGAAGCCGGCGCGCGGGGGGGGGGGGGTGCAGGCGTTGTGTCTTCCCCGGAGCTGCCCTTCTCGCCTCAGAGGTTGTTTCCCTGCAGACTCTGCACTTACCCGCGCTGGCCTGGGTCTCGGTCTGGGTTAGGGCCAGGACTGAAAGCAGCAGGAGAATGGGACGCGGCTCCTCAGCCCCCATCCTTGGTGCCTGGAAAATCTGGGCGAATTGAAACCTTGTTCCTTTCTGTGGAGTTTATAGCGTCGTGATTTGTGGGGAGATACCAAAGTGACCGTGAGTGGTTTTCTCCAGAATTCGGGCACGCAATAGAGTGAGAACATTTGTCCAGATGGAAAGACTGAACAGCTGACCATGTGGTGAGCTTGAGAAATTAACTCCGAGGCCAGCAGGAATCCCCAAACACGTCTTCACGAAGGATTTATAGAGACCACCTTCTTCCTGTACCTGGTGCCCTCTCTCACATCTGCTCCCTGAATCCCGTTCAGAAGCTCTGAAATATGAATGACTTGGGTTCACGATCTCGTTTGTGCTCTGAAATTATTGAGGACCTCCAAGAGTTTTTATGTAGGTTGTATCTAACGACATTTACCTTGTTAGAACTGAAGCTTAATTGGTCATGTGGCTGTTGCTTGCCTGTACACCCAGCACTAAGGAGACTGGGCTGACGCAGAAAGTTTGACCTAAGTTTGAGGCCAGTGTGGGTTACATGAGACTGACGTTTTTTAAAAGTTATTTTTACTTATGTGTATATATGTGAGTTTGTGTCAGTGTTTACCAGAAGCGTGAAGATGCCCATGGAGGCCAGAATAGGAGGTCAGAGATTCCTGTAACTCCAGTTCCAGGAGGATCAGGAGGTTGTGAGCTGGGAGTCCTGGGTGCTGGGAACCAAACTGGGGTCTTCTATCAGAGTAGCAAGCACTCTTAACCACTGGACCATCTCTCCAACCCCTTGAGACTCTGTTTTAAAGTTAGGGTTAAAGAGAGAGAGAGAGAGAGAGAGAGAGAGAGAGAGAGAGAGAGAGAGAGAGAGAGAGAGAGAGATTTTACATGTGTATCTGCCTCTTATTCTGCAAGTGAGTGGTGGTTAAAAACAAATGTAACAACCCCTAATTAGTTTGAATTTCCAACCTTGATTCATACTAAGCTGTCAACAGATGAACTCACTATCAAGCACAATACAGTAAATATGGCAAGTAAGCTACAACCTTTTTATTTTATTTTCATGCACCCCATGAAAGTATCTAAGTAACTTCATGTTTTCACTGAGCTTTAAGAATTACTACTTTTAGGGTTGGAGAGATGGCTCAGTGGTTAAGATTAAGAGCATTGCTTGCTCTTCCAAAGGTCCTGAGTTCAATTCCCAGCAACCACATGGTGGCTCACAACCATCTGTAATGAGATCTGGCGCCCTCTTCTGGCCTGCAGGCATACAGACAGAACATTGTATACATAATAAATAAATAAATATTAGAAAAAAAAAGAATTACTACTTTTAGTTGAGTTTAGTGACACTTGCCTTTATTCAGGCTACTTTAAGAGGCTGAGGCAGGGGAATTGCTGAGACTTCAGGCTAGCATATAAAAGTTTGTATAGCCCTTTAAGTAGGAGAACTAGAATGCAGAATGTCAGGGGATAGGAAGTCAATGGACAGGGAGAACATCAATGGCCTGTTAGGTCCAGAAAACAGGCTGGTTTGTAAACGGTTTGAAATGACGCTCTCTGGAGCATTGGATGGGACTGAAGTAGAGGATGATGGGATGTGGCAAGTCTGTCCAGGATGCTGACAGGCTTCCTTCTGTAAGAGTCAGTTAACAAAACTGACTGAGAGATGCACACGTAATTGTCTTCTGTTTTGGTGATTCAGAACATTAGGCCGAGTTGGGTGGAGCAGAGAAGTCGTTACTACCAAATTCCATCACTTAGAATAATCACCATGCCAGAGATCCCTGTTTCGAGTGGCAGTTCCTGGTCTCTGTCACTTCCCTACCTGAAATTTCCCTAGAAGTTCCACACAGAGGTTGGTAGCTGAGGAAAGGAAATCGGATCAGTAATCAAGTGGCAATAAACTTTCAAAGAGAGAAAAGATCATCCGTTAGAATAGGACTAAACAGAAAAGGACAAATTTATGCACATTTCCCCAAACCCCATTAAATTGACATCACAGTCCTAATTTAGTCACGAGTGGCTTAGCCTCGTGTGGATGATGAATATGTTTCTTGTGTTTTAAGCAACACAGATCAAATCTAAGTCTTATGATACATACCTGAAAGCCTAACACTTGGAAGGCAAGGTGAGCCTGATGGGTATACTTGTGTGTACACATGTGGATGTGCATGTGGGGTGTGTGTATGTGTGTGTGTGTGTATGTATGTATAGTCTCCACCCATGGTCAGATGTGGAAATTAGATTCCATTCTTTGGACCAAATAGAAGTTAACCCAAAGCCCTGATACCTTCACCTCTTCATATGGAAAATGGGGATGTGGGAGTTGGGGTTGGAGGCAGAGGTGGAGAAAGAGGATGTCCACAAGTTCAAGGGCAGACTGGTCTATATAATGAGTTCTAGGACAGCTAGAGCTACACACTGAGACTCTGTTGTTTACTGTGGGCCTGGGAATTGGTGATGTGCTTATTGTGAAAGCATGAGATCCTGAGATCAACCCCAGAGCCCGTGTGGTATGGCTTGTAGTCCAGCACTGTGGAAATAGTGACAGGAGGGTCCTCAGACTCACTGCCAGCCAACCTAGTCCTGTGGATGCACTTCTGGCTATTTAGTACCTATCTCAAAAAGAATGGCATTCTTTAAGGACAACAACAAAAAATTCTAAATTTATGTGGATTCAGAAAAAACTGCTAATAGCCAAAGTTGTACTTAGCTGGAAGAGAAATACTAGAAGATTTAAAATATTATCTCAAATTCTGTTACAGAGACATGGTTTTACAGAAGAACAAGCAAAAAGGTGTGGTACAGGCACAGAGATAGACACAGACTAATGGAACAGAATAGAGGACTCAGATATAATCTATAGTTACAGTGTTAAAACAACTCACATTTGGGCTGGAGAGATGGTTCAGAGGTTAAAAGCATTGCCTGCTCTTCCAAGGTCCTGAGTTCAATTCCCAGCAACCACATGGTGGCTCACATCTGTAATGTGGTCTGGTGCCCTCTTCTGGCCTGCAGGCATACACACAGACAAAATATTGTATACATACTAGATAGATAGATAGATAGATAGATAGATAGATAGATAGATAGATGCAACCCACATTCCAGAAGCAGGTGCTTCCCCATCCCCCACCCATCCTTCAAGGACTCAGGGCCAGCATCCCTGTCATCACAATATGACACATTTCCACTGTTTAAAGATCCCTTATGCTCATGTTACAGACCCCTTTCCATTCTCTCTCCCATCTCTCTCCCTAGCTCCATCCTCCACTCCCTCTCTTTCCTCCCTGCCTGTCTCTCACATCCCCACTCAGAGGCAGCCTCCCCCCTCCCAATAAACCCCTTGTGTGAATTCTGTGTGATTTTTGTGACATTCCTTGGCCCTCTGATACCACAAAAACCCTTATACACTGTTATTTTATTTTCAACCACATGCCTAAAACAGTCATTGAGGAAAACACACAAATCCATTCAGCATATGATGTTGGGAAAATTTTATACCCCATGTAGAAGAACAAAATTACATCTCTATCTCTCATCCCGTAGAAAATTAATCTCAAAGACCTTAAATGTAACACAAAACTCTGAAATCTGCTAGAGGAAAACCCTTTGATAGATGCACAGACCGTCTGTGAGAATGGTCTGAAATGATTTACAGCTCAAGAAACAATAACAAGAGTTGACAAGTGGGATTGCATGAAATGAAAAGCTTCTGTACAGCAAAGGAAACAATTAGAGGGTATAAAGACAGTCTAAGGAAAGGGAGAAAATATAAACCAACTAAATCTGAAACAGGATTAATGTTTATAATACACAAATTATTCAAAACAGCAAAACCAAGAGCCAGGTGTTGTGTGTACCTGAAAGCTCATGAACTGGGAAGCAGACTCATGAGACTACAAGTCCAGCTTCATGGACTGTGTTGCAAAAACAAACAAACAAAAATCATTCTGGTAGAGAACTGAATGAATTCGTTAGACGAAAGCAAGACAACAGAGGAAGGAATTGGAAATTCATTCAATAGTTTAGGGAAGGGACAGAGGTTGCTTTTCCTTAAGGTATGAGAAGAAAAAACAGCGTAAAGAAATTGGGCAGAGATCAGGGCCTCTTCTCCTAAAACCTCTCTGAGTTCAAGGCCAGCCTAGTCTAGCAAGTCAAGGCCACAGACTGAGACTGTTTCAACTGTAATGGCGTAATCGAATGCAGACAGATTGTAAAAAAATATATATAGCTTTAATGGCGAAATAGACTTACAGAACCACCGTTCCTGCGGAGACCAGGAAAGCAGAAGGGATGGCTGGGAGCAAGCTCGCCAAATTTATAGGCCAACATTAGCCCGAGGCGAACACGCCCCCTAAGGGGCGGGACTTATCCCTACATCTCCCCTTTTTGTCTAAATAAGACAGAACCAAACCAAATACAACTATATACAATAACAACAAATAATAAATATAACAAACAATATTGAGAACAAAAGCTTTGCTAAACATTCTATCTCAAGGAGTCCAAATAATGTAGAGAGTAACTACAATTATATAATCTTCAACTCCGTCAAAGATCTGAGAAGGGAATAAACTCTACTCAACAAACGAGATATATCCAAAATGTGCAACGATTGACAGAGACAACTGACTACCTGGGCAATCACCCAAAGTCTCGTTTACAATGTTGAGTCAACCAATTTTGGCTAAGGCCTAACATAACTGACATACCATTATTAAAGGCAAGCAACTTTTCAAAACCATCTTACCCTGTCTTGGCAGGATATGACAGTCCTGTTTTATCCACTGATGCACGCTCTGTATCTCTGTCAGTGGTTGAGGTATGGGCATTTCTTTGCCCAAAGGCCAGTTCTGCCAAATAGAAAGGCTCCAAGTGGAGTGTCTTTGGTGCTCAACATTCTCTCGGGAATAGAGCGGTGTTGCCAGGAGCAATTGTGTCTCACTATCACGAAACTCTGAGTTAGATTAAAGGCCATTTTCTACAGCTCTTTGAAGAGGTTGAAGATTATCTAT